GGTCATGATCAGCTTACACTACAGTAAAACCAAGTTTTGTGGCAAACGGGGCCAGGACTGTAACAGTTCCCTGTTAGCGCTAACCTTATCTGCCCTCTAGCTCTGTATCTTGCACCTTTCCCTATCCTGTCAGCACGCGCGTTATCACCTTAGGGCACGAAGTGCCCTATATCAGTTGTGTTGCCTTGAGCAAGCATTGTCTTTTCCAAGAATACCTTCAAACGGTTACACTGGTAGCAGAGGATGGTTTCGATCCATCGACCTCTGGGTTATGGGCCCAGCACGCTTCCGCTGCTTCCGCTTTTTCGTTAAAAAGTCTGATGGCTCATTGCGCATGGTTTGTGATTGGCGGAATTTGAACAGGATCACCATCAAAAACAAAGCTTGCCTCCCAAACATTGATGACCTGTTTGATACCATTCAAGGTAGCTCATACTTCAGTAAGCTGGATTTACGCTCGGGATATAATCAGCTTAGGATCCGTCAGGAAGATGTACCTAAGACGGCTATCAATACTCCCTTCGGTCATTTCCAGTTCCGGGTTATGGGCTTTGGATTAACTAACGCCCCTGCCACGTTTCAGTCATTGATGAACAGTATTCTCCAACCGTACTTACGGCGGTTTGTGGTAGTGTTTCTGGATGATATTCTTATCTTCAGCAAATCCTGGCAAGATCATCTTGAACATATCCAGACAGTTCTTGAGACGCTCCGGAAAAATAGGCTATTCTGTAAGCAGTCGAAATGTGAGTTTGGTGTCAAGGATGTTCTGTTTCTAGGGCATCGCATCGACGGTGAATGTATCGCTCCAGATCCAAAGAAGCTTAAAGCAGTGAGGGAATGGCAGCCACCGACGACAGTTACGGAGGTGAGACAGTTCCTTGGTTTTGCGAACTACTTTAGAAGATTTATTGAGCACTACTCTACTATATCGCGGCCATTAGAGGAGATCACTGGCAAACATGCCAGGTTCGAATGGAGTGGCCCCCGTCAGCATGCATTCGAATCCCTGAGACAGGCCTTGTTGAGTGCACCGCTGTTGAAACTAGCAAACGTGCAGAAGCCTTTCAGAGTTGCAACAGACGCAAGTGATTTTGCAATAGCAGGCGTCCTTCTCCAACAGGGGGAAAGCGATAGTGCTTGGCATCCTGTGGCATATGCCAGTCGTAAGCTGTCACAAGCGGAGCGAAATTACACTGCTGCAGAACGCGAAACCCTGGCGGTGGTGTTTGCACTGCGATCCTGGAGAATTTATCTATTCCAGCATTTTGAAGTGTTCAGTGACAGCATGGCCGTAGTCTACTTGAGCACAAAAGCCAATCTCACTAAGCGCGAAGCTAGATGGGTTGAATTTCTTGCAGACTATGACTTCACAGTTAATCACAAACCCGGTAAGGAAAATATGGCTGATGCGTTATCCCGCCGCCCTGATCTGCGCGGGTCAGCAATTGGCAATGTAGTTGAGGAAAAGGATTGCCCACCCATCCTACCAGCACCCCATTTGAATACGATTGAGTTTGCTTTGGAACTGAGTGATAGGGTTGCTGAGATGATTTCGGAAGCATATCAGAATGACGAGCAGCTTTCCCCAATAATTCAGCGGCTGCGCGGCGATTCCTCTGATAATCTACACGAGCGGTACTATTGGGATGAAGAGTCCAGGTACCTATACCTCCGTGCAGCACCAAACAATCGCTTGTGTGTACCCAAGTGTGCAGTAAGGCTTCAGCTCCTGCAGGAGTACCACGACTGTGTTACGGCAGGCCATCAGGGACGGGATCGTACATATTTCCGGCTTCGTCAATTCTTCTACTGGCCCAAGATGGGCCTTGACGTGAAGAAATTTGTTAAGTCTTGCGGCATATGTCAGCGCACTAAGGGTGGGTTGCCTAGATCCGGTTTGCTGCAATCGCTCCCAGTACCAGACACCCCCTGGAAAGATATTTCCATGGACTTTATCGTTGGCTTACCCCAGACCCCTCAGGGCTTTGATGCAATTTATACATTTGTTGACCGGCTTACAAAATGTGTCCATTTAGTCCCCACGACTTCCAAAATTGACGCTAAGGGTTCTGCTGATTTGTATCTCCAGAATGTGTTTAGATTACACGGTTTGAGTTCCACTATTGTTTGTGATCGGGACCCAAGATTTACTTCTGAATTTTTCCGGGAATTGTTTCATCAATTAGGTACCACCTTGTCGTTTAGTACTGCCAATCACCCACAGACCGATGGGCAGACTGAGAGAATGAATAGAGTAATTGAGGATGTGCTTAGAGCGTTTGTTAACCACAAACAAGATAATTGGGACAAGCTTCTGCCTCTTTGCGAATTTGCAATTAATAGTTCATATCAGTCTTCCACTTCTAGCACGCCGTTTTATCTAAATTATGGACTTAATCCCAAGTCCCCACCAGATTTCCTGGCACGGAGGGGAGGAGGGAGTGCCCCAGACTGGATCCAGGATCGGGCGGATGCCGTCAAGTTGGCAAAGGACGCCATGATTGCCGCTCAGGCTAGACAAGCTCAGTATGCAGACAGGGGAAGGGTGCCCAGCAACCTGAAGGTTGGCGACATGGTGCTGGTGTACAAGGATTTCCTAACAACCGCAGAAGCCCGGGATCAGCCTTCACAGAAGCTACGCCCTAAGTGGTTCGGGCCCTACCCAATCATCAAGAAGATCGGACCCAACGCCTATCAGCTGGATCTACCCAGCGCTATTCGGTGCCACCCTGTCTTCAATGTCACTGCTCTGCGCCGGTATGAGCAGAATACTATTCCCGGCAGGCGGCAGCCACCCCCGCCACCGTTCACTGACTTGCACGGTCAGACCAGATACATGGTGGAGAAGATTCTTGACGATCGCCAGCGAAGGCATCAGACTCAGTACCTTGTCAAGTGGCAAGGATACCCAGACGACGAAGCGACCTGGGAGCCAGAAGAGAACTTGCTGGACGAGGCCGGTAGGCCGATAGTTGCTCTGAGGCGTTACAGGGCGTCCAGGGCATGTTAGTGACACTATGGTTACAGCGAAATGTTACTCGCTCAAATTCAATTGCACGTGTACCTTGAGAATTCCCACTTGATCCTTGTTGTGTTAAGCAATCCATTCCCCTCCTGTTTTAGATTTTCCCCATTTCCGTTATCTTCACTCGCCTGACTGTCCTTGGTTACCTTGCACGGTGCTTCAATTAGATGAGCGTTGTTGGGTTGACACGATTTCATTTTGATTATTCCCTTTCCACATATTCCTCGACTCCCTGGAGGCACATGTGCCTCGCTTAGGAGGGAGGGATGGTGTAACAGTTCCCTGTTAGCGCTAACCTTATCTGCCCTCTAGCTCTGTATCTTGCACCTTTCCCTATCCTGTCAGCACGCGCGTTATCACCTTAGGGCACGAAGTGCCCTATATCAGTTGTGTTGCCTTGAGCAAGCATTGTCTTTTCCAAGAATACCTTCAAACGGTTACAAGGACTCCCTCTTACTCTTAGTGTCCCCTCTTTCCTCTTTCTTCTCACTACATTTTCCTTTCTGCTCTGTTTTACTTTCTCTTTTCGCTCGTCCCTCTTGGTTCTTGTACGTTGTACCTCTTGGTAAGCTCCGAGCTTATTTACTCTTGTCTTGGTTGCACTGTTGAGACATCATCGTCGACCCTTCAGGCTTCATCTCGTGCAGTCACGGGACACTTGTATTTGTACGGTGTTAACTGTCTGATGAGTCCTCAAACACTTTTTAAAATACATGTAACAGGCTACTGTTTGATGATCAGCTGGCTTAGTTTTTCTCCACCTCTATCCTAATTACATCAGTCTCCAATTTCATTTATTACTGCTTTCTATCTGCATTCGCCACCTTTTCATTGGGCAGATCTGCCCGTTTGGTTTGCGAATTAAAATAAACACAACAACAACAACAACAACAACTGTGTTACATACAATGTAAATGCACTGGCCCCGTATACTCGGCGTCTTCGCGCTGACCTCGGCCCCTTGCGCTACCTAAGTCCTTTCACCGCTCAGTTCCGAGGCAGAAAGTGCACTTGTCGCACCCGAAATCCTGCTACACACTCTGTCATTTTTTGTCAGTGCAAGTAATTAGTTTCATCCCGTGGAATGTGTTCCGGAACTCCGCAAGGCACCGACCGGGACGTGCGATCCGAGTATGAGAGGTGTTTCACTGCATGCGCGAGCAAGCCATTACATGTACATGCGGTACGTTCATACTTGAGGGAATAGGGGAGAAACCAACAACAGAGTTGGTGATCATGGTGATGCTGGTTAATGCTGGAACATCCTGACGCAAACACATGCACTGAGTTTCATACCAACTCGGCAACTGCAGTATGTTTGTACTCGGCGGCCGGCTACAATGTAGCCGGTTTGCATTTGTTGTAGACCGGTCGGTTGGAGAAGTGAAGGAACGTGCAATACTAGTTTCAGTCTTTTCACCATAGTGCAGCAAAGATTCTAGGGCTATTGCTAGGTGTTTATTGCGATCAGCAGCTACGCAAATATCGGCCTGACCAAGAATCCTGGACAGGAGACGCAGAGACACTCACGTGCACTGTGTCTACTGACCAGGCAAAAGTAACCACTGCAAACCACTGTTCTTGCTGGCTCCACGCTCTGATCATTGCCGCGGCTAAGATTTAGGTGTAAATACATGTATCCGGCACGGGGCTGGATTCTAATTTAAGCCGATCCAGTCAGTTGGCTGAGCAGGCAGTTACTAGTACTTCGA